GTGGGTCTCCTCCCCAGCCCGTGTGCATCCCTGCCCCGCTCCACCCATTGCCTCGCCGCAGCAGCTGGAGGGGGGGCACTGGCTGGCACGACGGGAGCCATCCACCACCCCTTGGGCATCTCAGCTTTGGGGGAGATGAGGCAAATCCAGCCCTGGGCCTTTCGATGAAGGATGGGATACAGGCAGGGGTGGCTCTGCCCTTGGGCAGGGGCAGGAGGCTCCATGGGTCTCTTTGCTCCAGGCGTTTGGCTTCCCCTTCTCCTCAAGCCCCTCCGAAACCCTGTCCCTCCCACAGGGAGGGGTCTGAGGGGTACCAGGGGACCCTGCAGATCAGGGCACCGGCCCCAGGTGCTCCCGTCTCTGCCTCTCTCCCTGCCATACTGACGATACCAAAACCACCAGAACCCCCCTAAAAAGCACCACATCCCTGCACCCAAGAAGGGAGAAGCCTCGTGCATCTCATTAAATACAGGTAGAAATTTATTAAGGGGGAAAAAAACCCACAGCTTTTAAAAAAAAAAGTATCAAAAAGAGAAATGAGGTGAAGTGTCTGTCTTTGGCTGGAGCAGCACCAGAGGGACAGAGCAGGGCTGAAAACTGGCCCGTGGAGGAGGGAGGGATGCCCGGAGGGATGCAGGTGCCACAGAACTCCCAGGGTCACCTGGAGAGCAGCTGTGGACAGAGGGAGCCGAGCTCCCAGCCCTTGAATACTCATCCCAGGGCATCACAGCTGGGGGATTCACCCCATTTAACAGCGCTGAGACCCACCAGCACCAAAGCAACACCTACCAGGGGAGAGAGAGCCTGGCACCAGAGCGGGTCCAAACCCAGCCCAGCGGAGTCACCCGGACCCCAGGAAGGACCTGCCTTCACGCCGGGGCTGAAGGGAGGGAGGGAGGAGGAGGAGATGCTGGGGGGCTGAGGGCAGGCAGGGATGTGCAGCTTTGGCCAGGGAAGGGGGAAGGCGACTGCCCCCGCTTCTCCGTCTGTCCAGCACCGTCTGAGGCAGGGAAGGCTACCTCGGTCTCCACGCTTTGAAAAAGGGAAAGGGGGAAGAGCAGGGACTTGAGGCAGAAGTGGAAGGTGGGAGCACCGATAGCTTCCTGAGAGGTCTGTGGGTTTCAGGAGCGGCCACACACGCTCCTCAGGGTGTTTTTCTCCATGCCTGCTTCCCAGCATGACACTACAAAGACGGCACATGTGCCGCTTTTCCACTTCCAAAACGGGAATTTCACTGAAATAAGGGGAAAAGAAGCCCCCCCCCAGCAGAGCCCTGCCTCTCCACCCAGTGAGGAGCCCCCATGGGGAAGCAGAAACCTCCTTCCATGGTCTCAGGGCAGCATCACATGTGAGAACAGGACTGAAAAATACCTTCGAAGCTCAGCTCTGAACACCTCAGAAATGCAGCAGAGGTCTTGGGAAGCCCAAAGTGGGGGAAGCCCTCTGCCTAAAGAGCTGCAGATTAAAAAAAAAAAAAAAAAAGGTGCCCCTGCAAAAAAGGGGGTTGTTCACAGTATGAGCTGCAGTACCCAGGGGCACCAAGGTGGGACGGGGCCCTGGGCAGGCAGGGGCACAGGCAGGGGGCCTCACGAGGGTGTGGCCTCTG